ACTCCAACTTGCTCAAATGGAAGGGAGGATTTATCAGCCATCAGGAAAGTCCCAAGGTGGGAACAGCACCAGGGTCCATTTGATTCAATCGCTCAAAAAGGTCATCAAGGGCCCCTCTTCTTTCCCACTCTCTGCTCTGCTTCCTGTGGCGTGGGCTCCATCCTCATGCTCATATCCCTCATGGTGGCAAAATGACTACCATCATTCCAGCATCACATCCCGTATCCTGCCATCCAGAAAGAGAAACAGGGTGAGCTTATTTGCCAGCAGCCCGCTCAAAACACTTCTCTATCACGTTGGCCTGAATGGGTCATGTGCCTACCCAGAGATGGGGCCATGGAATGGATTTCACTTTGATTAGCTGGGCTCTGAGGCGGGTATTACTCCCACTTCCTTAAAGACAGGAATGCAATTGTCTCCCTCTCTCCCACCCACCCCTCGGCACTGGAATAAATGGAAGAGGTGAGGAAATTCAGGGAAATCAGTGAAGAAAAGACGATGGATGGATCTTATAAGAGCACCCATGGTGTCGTCTACACAGAGCTGCCCTATTTAGCAAATAAAAATCCAGGATGTCCAGTTCCATGTGTATTTCAGATAAATGACAATTCTGTTGGAAGAGTATCAGGACAATTCCATACCTACTAAATAAATTACTCATTGTTTGTCTGGAATTCAGATTTAACTGGGTGTCCTGTAGCTTAGTTGGCACCAGCACTTCTCAGGCTTGCCTGTGGGTAAGAATCATTGAGGATGGGGTTAAAACACGGATTGTGACTCGGTGGGTCGGAGCCGGGCCTGGAATCCTGCATCTCACGGGCTCCGGGTGAGCCAATGCTGCGTGTGGGAGGTCCACACTCTGCAGAAGGGTCCGCACCACCTCCTGGGGGGAGAGATGAGGAGTGAGGGCGTTAATCGAAATAAGGTGCTCCGCACTGTGTCCAGCAGTGATGAAAACTCAGGAGACGGTTTCTCATTATCACGATCATAATGATGGTTTGAAAAGTGTGATTGTGTGTGTGTGTCTTTCTCTGTCTCAGGACTTCTCAGCAATTGTACATCAACAGCTGCAAACTCTCCATCTTGGATCTGTCCAGCTGTTCCCGTCACTTGGTGGAGGAGACACCACCAGGAGGAACACGAGAGGGAGTGGTAAAGTGGGTGCTCTTCCCTGGCCCTGCGCTCCGGAGTTTCTGTGAGCACAGCATCGCTGGAGGCTTACGTATCCCCTCGCCCACCCGTCTTCATTCATCTCAACGCCGAACGAGGCTTGTGAGGGGCAAGGTGCTGTGGGGGACCCGGGGCTCTTTCGTTTACAAGTGACAGAAACCCGAGTGGAATTCGCTGAGGCCAGAGTGGGGATTTCCTGGAAGGAGCCTGGAGAGACTCATTTAACGGGAGCAAGAGCTGAACACCCAAACCTCAGAAGGGTTAGGGAGTGTTGGGCACACCTGAGCTCAGCCGGGTGGTTCTCTGTCTCCACCTCTCGCCTCTCTGGGTAGCTTCATTTTCTCCTCCTGCAGACTGGCCTCCTCCTCCAAATGGTGAGAACCGAGGCCGCCATCAGTTCCCGAGTCTCACATCCCAGGGAGGCGGCCTCCACTTTCAATTCCAGAGAGAAACCCCCCAGGGAAGGCCACTGATTGGCCCAGCTTGGGTCAGAAGACCACCGTTTGCTTCTTTCTCCATGCTCACACTCCATTTTCTCTCTCTCCTCTAGCGATCTTATTCCCTCCCGTGACTTTCAATTCTATCTGGATGCTGATGAATCCCTGAAGGAGAGCATTGCCATTGTTTTTACTGCACAGCATCTGAAAACCCTGTATTATTAGGGAAGGGGAAAATTCTGTAACAAAGAAACCCATGTGTCTTAGTCTGTTCGGGCTGCTATAACAAAATACCACAGACTGAGTGGTTATGAACATCGGAAATTTATTTCCCACAGATCTGGAGGCTGAAGTCCAAGATCAAGGCTCCAGCATGGTGCTTCCTGGGGAGGGCCCCTTCCTGGTTCATTGCCGGCTTCTCCCTGTGTCCCCACATGGTGGAAGGGGGGAGGGATCTCTCTGGAGCCTCTTTTACAAGGGCATTACTCCTATTCAGGAGGCTGCGCCCTCACAACCTAATCACCTCCCAAAGGCCCCACCTCCTAATAACATCACCCTGGGGGTTAGGTCTCAACATATGAATTTGGGGGAACACAAACATGCTGACCATAGCTCTATATGTTATAATGGCACGTCATATTAGAAGCTTATTTCTTTTTATTTTTTACTTAAAAAACTTTTAATTGTGGTAAAATACACATAACATAAAATTTGCCATCTTAACCATTTTTTAGTGTACAGTTCAGTAGTGTTAAGTATACTCACATTGTTGTGCAACCATCATCATCCATCTCCAGAACTCTCTTCATCTCTCAAGACTGAATCTCCATACCCATTAAACACTGACTCCCCGTTCACCTTGCTCCCAGCCCGTGGAAATCACCATTTTACTTTCTGTCTCTATGAATTTGACTCTCTATGAATCATACAGTATTTGTCTTTGTGTGTATGTGTCTGGCTTATTTCACTTAGCATAATGTCCTCCAGTTTCATCCATGTTGTAGCAGGTGTCAGAATTTCCTTCCTTTTAAAGGCTGAGTAATATTCCATTGTATGTGTGTACCACATTTTGCTTATCCGTTCATTCCTCAACGGACACTTGGGTTGTTTCCACCTTTTGTGACTAACGCTGCTATAAACACGGGTGTACAAATTAGATACTTATTTCTTGATCATGTAACAGTCTCGGATGGGTATTGGGTATTGGGTGATGAAGAGTGTCTCCATGAGATGGTTGTTGAGGGACCTAGATTTCTTGGGGCTCCACCATTCCCTACGGCCTTGTTATTGTCTGCATCCAGCCAGCGAGAGGGGAAAGAGCTTGGAGAAGGTGTGCTCGTTTCTTAGGAGACTTGGCCTGGAATTGGCCCGTGTCACTTCTGCTCCCATCCTATTGTTGAGAACCAGTAACAAGGCCACACTTGGATGCCAAGAGCCGCTGAACGTGGTCCGTGGATGGGAAGCAGCATTCCAGGAATAACTCTATCCTTTGGAAAGGAAGAGCAGGTTGTTGTGGGGAATTAGCCATCTCTACTGCAACCCCATCCTCTGTTTGGGAAATATCCCAGTATTGTTTTGGTTGTCTGCAGAGACTTGGAATTACCAATGTTTTAAATCAGATAGAAAGTCATTTCTCTCATCTAGTATCTCAGCTGGCACAGAACCTCTTTTTCACAAAGCCAACAAGTGTCTATCTCGTTCCTTCTGTCTTGTAGCTCTACCATTCTCAGTACATGGCTTCCATCTGGTGATCTAAGAGAGCTGCTCTCGATCTCTAGGTTCTCAATTTGGCCAGCTGGGAGCGGGGAACGAGAAGGAGAGGAAGGAAGCTGTTCCTGCCACCGACCAGACCATTGCAGACACGTACTGAATGGTCTGATTCAGCGGAGCACAGACATGTCTTATATGCAGGTTTCATGGTGTAAAGTTGATACGTATAATAATAATTCATATTTATTGTTTTGTAATAGCACTTTCCACCTGTTCTAAGATATATTTAAAATTCTACCTTTGTGATATTTCTGAAAGTGAGACACAGACCTATCTTACTATTGACATGTATATTTAATACAGTACATTTTTTCCTGAAAAGATGTTAATAATCTTTTCAATGTACATCTTATGACTGATGCAGACTGAGACTTGAGGGTATACAGCAGCCAGTAGTAATACTACTACTAAGTAATACTAATCACTACCGTTTTCCCTGAGAGCTTACTACGTCCGAGCCAAGAATTGAATTAAGCAAATTTACACAGATTATCTCACTAAATTGAGGCTGTGAAAGGTATTACTCAACAAATGAATTGTACATCCCCATCTTTCTGATTCCCAAGCTTTGTGACTGTTTCAATGCTTATAAATAATAATAATAAATCATCTGCCACATAGGTGAGATTAGGTGAAACGCAGCCGAGTACAGACCGGGGAAGGGACTAGAGGGACCAGCCTGCTAGGATACTATGGCGTAAACCATAATTTATTTTTTTTGACATTTAAAAAATTTTTTTATTTCCTTAAGGTCATATTGGTTTATAAGTTGTGTGATTTCAGGCATACATTATTATATATCAGCTTCTGTACAGACTGCATCGTGCTCACCCCTAATAGTCTGGTTTTTATCCATCACCATACACATGTGCCCCTTTACCCCTTACCACCCCCCTGCCTCGTTCCCCTCTGGTAACCACTAATCTATTCTCTTTATCCATGTGTTTATGTTCCACATATGAGTGAAATCATACGGTTGTAAACCATAATTTAAAAGTATCGATTTTATATAAGAATACTAACAACAGCCAACACTGAGCCAGCGCCTGCGAAGTGCCTGCCTCGCATGAGGCAAGCAGGTGAATCCTCTGCTGCGTTGATCAATATTCTAGCACAGGAGGCAGTGTGTAAGGGCACGGTTAAATACAAGAATTGGGAGCCAGACCCCACAGGTTCGAGCCCAGGCTCTGCACTCTCGGCGTGCGACTTGACTTCTCTGTCCCTCGTTATGTGCAAAATGGGAAGAGGTTATTAATAGGACCTAAAGTATGTGAAGCCCCTGGAGGCGCGCAATGTGTTATCACTACTTTAGAAGGGAGGAAACGGAGGCTGAGGGAGACAGGGACGCGGGCAGCGCCTGAAGCGCAGCACGCTTTGTCCAGGACGAAGGATCAGGGTCTCAGAGGAGGGACCCCAAGGCGCAGGCGGACGCCGGCCACGGCGGGGAGCGTCGGCAGAGAAAGGGTTACAATGATAGAGACGACAGGAGGACCGAGATGGCACGAGCGGCCCTCGCCGCCGCTCTCCCCCACCCCTTCCCCAGGCTGGCGCCGGGAGCCGACCGCGCAGGCGCGAGGCGCCCGGGGAGGTGGGGGGCACCTCCCCAGACACCCGGAAGTCTCCGCCTAACGGGCCGGGCCCGCGCCTCCTGTCCTGGTAGGGGGCGGGGCCCGAAGCCCCTCAGCGCGGCGCCATAGAGCGTGGACGGAGGACTCGTGTCCTAGACGTGTCCGGAAGTGGCTCCCTCAGGCGCCCGCTCCGCACCATAGAGCTGGGGGGGGTGCCGGCTAGGGGGTCCCCGGGCTCGCCTTCCTAGAGCGGCGAGGACGAGGTGGAGGCTGGAGGTGGGGTGGGAAGGGGAGGGGGGAGCGGCGCGGGCGGAAGCGGCCGGGAAGGTCACTTCCGGCCTGGGCGCCCGTCCCCCTGACCCCAGGGTCTGAGTCGCCGCTGCCGCCGCTGCCACCATCGGCGAGGGAGGAGAGAGGAGGAGGAGTGCGGTGCGGCGGCCCCGGGACCGAGGAGGTGAGGGGAGGGCGCAGGGGCGGGGGGCGTGCGCCCGGGACCGGGTGGGCGCGCGCCTCGGGGAGCTGGGCTGCGGGCGGGGGG